ACATTTCGCCGACAGCGACCACCATTACGGTGGCCTGCATACTAAATTAGCTAACTTGACAAAATTCTCCCGAGGGGGGAGGATGTGACGAAAAGAGCCGAAAAATGGCCTGTAATTGTCAGTTTGTTAAAATTTAACTGGAAAATATAGCAAAACCACATACTGAACAATCACATGCTCACAATTGATCATTTTTTGATTTTCTGCTTCAAGAAAAACAAATTGTCTTTTTTCTTTATGGTTAGTTATTGCAATCAGGAGCTCTGCTTTTAGGCTTGGCTGAATCTATAATTTTTTATACTAGAAGTTATCATAGATTATGAGTGCGTTTGTGTAAAGGTGTTTGGGCAAGGTTGACATTCTGGTCTATATGGGCGATTTCATCTAACAGGGCTAAACTCTACTTTCGCACCAGAAGTCTACATACCGCCTTAAGGCATCGATAAAATTTAATGTTAACAGTGATATCTTTTAGTCTCGTGATATCCAGTCAGAAAGACTTGAAAAACATTGACTACGTACAGCTTCCAAATTACAGTGTAAATGTCCACAAAAACCCGCACTTGAACGAAACCAAGACCCGCACCTGAAAGAAATGTACAGCACATGATTTGGCGATGATGTCATTCGTTTCACCCCTGCTGCGGGGCGGCTAAATCAGTGTCGCAACTTTGGACGAAGGTCCACCATCCCATGAAACTCGCCTCGAGTCTGCATTAGGACTGCGTTCTATGAACGCAATAATTTATTAACATCTTGTTACCCATTTAGGTTGACAAACTGTATGATGAGAAAGATGACGACTTTGATCCAAGGGAAAAAGATGAAGAAATTGCAAGAATGAGAGAACATGTTATGTCAGAGGTAATTAAGAATCAAGCTTCTTGAATGGATTAATTTACCTGACCAATCAAATTCAATTTAAGTCTTACAATTGAAAAATTTAAATGCTAGAAGATCCTGGAATTCAACAATATTGTGTGACATAATTTTAAGAAATCAGCTATGGTGACCAAAATGGTGATTTAGTGAAGTGACATTTTTAAAGCTAGTAAATAGTTGCCAAAGCAGTGTTAATTTGACAGTTAATACCTCTTGTTTGATGAGTGTATGTTTTGAATTTATGAACTTGAGTTAAATTTTCAAGTCTGAGTTTCAAATTCAAGTTAAACTTTGAGTCTAAGTTGGAATTTAGAGAATTAGAGTCAAATATTCAAATTTATTTTTAACTTCACATACTTTTCAGTTTTGTAAGTTATTTACCTTTAAAGTGCCACTATGATCAAAAAATTCACTTCCCTTTTTCCTTCAGATTTTAAAAGCGTGTTTGTTTGACACCTGACTGGCAAAATTGGACCTCGGAGGGTTGGATCGAGGATAGAACGACATCAACGACTCACTAGCTTAAAATTGCAGCGTGTAAACACAGCTTATTGTACATACAAAACACGAGTTTAAAGGTCTGAAAGTTTGAAACTCCCGTGTTGCATATTAATTTAGGCAGGTGCATTGCATTTTTAAACTAGTGGGTCTTTAACATCATCTTATCCTTGATCCAGCTCTCTCAAGATTTTAAAGTTGGTAATGGCAGACCATTAATTAGGAAAATTTCAGTTAAAATAAAGAGGTGCCTTTTTGAAATGAAGGCTTAAAATTTCGGTCACTTAGTGGTTCAGTTATATAGTTTTGAAATACAAAGAAAAAGTAGAATTGATTTTTGGTCACTACTACTAATTCCTAGCTCCCCTCTGGGAGAATAGGGCCATTTTTGGTCACAGTAACACTTTAATCAGAGTTTTTCTTGTAGTTTCACATGTTACCCTTATCTTGTGGTAAAAGCTAACCCTAGCCTTAATCCTAATCAGGCGAACTGGGATGACAGGACTGACTACATGTATATACTACTAATCCAGGATTGCCACGCTCAGGGAAAAGTCAGCGAAAATTAGATTTGATTTAAGGTCAGGGAAAAGTCATAGAGTGCTGTATCAGGTCAGGGAATTTCTAAATCCCTGTTCAAAGTCAGTGAAAAGTCAGGGAATTTTACCTTAAGGTTGCTGCAACTTATTTTATTAGATATTTTTGTATAGACAAGGCAATTTTGTTTTACAACTGTAAAAATTATCTGAGCCATCCTATTTGTGTTGATTCATTGCCAGAATAATCATCCTGCAAGATTAGTGAAAATTGCAATACAGTTAGTGAAAAGTCAGGGATTTTTTGTTTTGTTTTGTTCCGGTGGGTGGCAACCCTGTTATCAGACAAGCTCAAGCTATTCCAAGTTCTGCTAGAGCTTAAAATAGTAACTTGGCAATTAAACTTGAACTCAAAATTTGAACTCAAACACATCACAAACTGCAGATTGACAAGGATAAAGATGGCTTTGTGTCCCTGGATGAGTTCATGTCAGCTAGTAAGACAGATGAATTTGAGAAAGATGATGGCTGGAAAAGTGTGGAGGAGGAGCATCCATATACAGATGATGAACTGGCAGAATTTGAGAGACAGCTTCAAGAAGAGGAGAAATTAAAGATGGCCCAGGACAAAGCCATAGAAGATGTTAAAAATGTGGCCACTAAAATTGCTGAGGTTGGTATTACATTGAATTCACTCAACTAAGGCAAGAAAAACAAACATTTAATGCACCGTGACAACTGAGTTTGTTATTTTGATTCACTGTCTAATTACAATGTCCTTTAAAATAGTTTAAAGTTATAAAATTATTGGCTCAAATTTAAGTACTTTTTCCCTATGAGCCACTGAACATGTGAGTATCGCAAAATTAGGTAAAGAAAGTACTGAGATGTCTGCTCAGTTTCAGAACTTTCAGCATGATACACTTGACTGAGACACCCCAAGATACTGACAAAAGATATCTGGCCAAGTTATTCATTTGTATTACAAAGTTTCTCTCTTTGAAGCGAATAAAAATTTTAGTTTCCCAATTTGTGAATTATAACATGGATAGCTTCAAACAAATATTTGCCTAAGGGCAGTGCTAGTTTAATTTAGCTCATCCGAAAGAAACCTAACATTTCCCAGACTGTCTCAAAGTCTTGTGTTTAATTTTCATGACAGGGATTAAGTGAGGCAGAGTCTTTAACAACAATTCAATTTAACAAGACGAATTGTCTGTACGTTTGTTACCTGAAAAGCATTTTGCTTGAGAGATTGGCCATACCTTTGTTTCCTGAAACAAAGATATACCTTTTTTATGTACACTTGAGTGCTCACAGCTACCTTCTGCAGTCCAACCCCCTTTGCATGTACAATTAATTAATTGCTGTTAATTGAGTTTAATTAATAGCTCTTTTAGGTTATATCTTAGCACTGTTACATGTGAGATTACATCAGACCCCATTGAAGAAGAGATCATCAAAGACAAGATCATGTATTAAATAGTTTTCTAAGGTCTATAAGAAAATTGTTCATGTACAAGATATAGAACTGCTCGTGGATAGAATTATTTAAAAGATATTAAACTTTTCACTGTCAGAAGTGTTCTCATTATGGGTCAAGTGAAAATGACAAGACATGCAAGGTTTTTAGCTTTTCAGTGTACTGTCTTCAATTATAGCAAAATATTGTGGTTTTTTTTGCATTTGATCAATAGCAAGCAGTCGTAGCAGCAACACTTGAAGAGCATAAAGAAGGAGAGCAAAAAGAGCAACAGCAACAACATGGAGAATCACAGCAGCAGCAACAAACACCATAAAAGAAATACTATCAGTTGGAGAAAACCACCATTATGGCCCAGAAGACACAAACAACTCAAAGATTTATTCATATTAGGCCATTCATCCCTAAGACATAGACCAATATGGCTTTCCTACTAAACTTGTCTTTTTTGCATGACTCTCCAGACATGCTTTAGACATTGTGTTGTTCAACCAGTTAAATTAAAGTGTTTACTTCAAGTTTGGAAATTACTGAGTGGAGAATAATCAGATAAGATAATCAGAAAAGGCACTTAATATACTAGTTGGATTTGTGTTAAAAAAGTTGTCATTGGCATTGACTTTTGAACATTTTTAATCTTTTAACTAAACCTGTTTATTTTGTGAGACTGTGGTGCGTGTGAATCTGACCGCTTCCACTGAAGATTTAACCACACAGAACTGATGTAGCTTTAGAAATCACAACTTGCAGCCTTGACATTGGGGTTAAGGGAGTGGCCCTTTGTATGTTATTGTCTTATTTAGTTAGCATCTAGGAAATTAAAAAATCAAGAATTAATGGCAAATGTCAAATAAAGTACTTTTTAGTACACTGCAGACATCAACCCGCCTTTAAGTTACAAGCAACTTTATATACTATTGTACAGTACTGTACATAGAGTGCAATACCATGTGGTGAACACACATGCAGTAGAGGTATCTATCAGACTCAGGAGAACAATGTGGTAGTGAATTTATCTTAGTACTGCTGAATTATTTACAGCAATCAAACTTTTCTTCTGTGTTTGTATCCACAAAATGATTTATCTAACCACAGAAGACATTTCAGGATTGTAGTTTCCATTATTTTGTTCTAAGCAAATGTTTTATTTTTCCTTATATAGAATGTAATGATTAAAAAAATGAATAATAAATTCACACTGCAGGTTCCTGAAACCTCTCAGAATAGAAGAGTGTTTTCCCTTTTATATTTACAAGTAAACAGGTCTGTACTGAACAGCGAGCTCTGTCGCACAACAAACACCAGTCCCAAGTGTTGCTGCTTTTAGGCAATAAAATACAAGATACACTGTTAGTACTCTTATTCAGTTATGCATTGTTCTTAACGTTTCTTGCTGTTTGATGGGAAGAAATGAACCACACTTGTTCTGCTTATTGTGATTTCCACCCTCGGTAGTATTAGACGTGATAGCAGTTATTGCAAGGGGTCAATCAACAGAACTGTTTGTTCACAATGGGTTTCCAACCTTACCAGGATTTCAATCCGAGACCTGCGAGATGTACTCATTTGGAACAATGCTACGTTTTCTTAAGAATTGATGTTGTGAATAACCCAAACCATGTACTGTGTCCTAAAACGTAAACTGAATGAAATGGCATTTGTTTGCCTCTTTTCATAATTCTCTAGTCTTGTAATGTACTGATAAGGGGGATCAGGAATAAGTCATTTTCTACTGTTACACATGTAAGATATAATGTATGACCTTTAATGCAACATTTCGCAAGTTATAAGTGGCATATTATATTGTTTCCCAAATTTGTTTGGAACTTTTTTCTGTTGCATTGCTATCGCCCTCTCTGGGTAACGTTCTGTTAACCCAACATGGTTTTAAATCGCTCTTGGGTAACACTGGAAACTGAAAATAATCTTATAACGTTTTATTATTAGCATAACTTGCTATGAATCCACATTATATTACAGAATCAAATATATTACAATAGTTCATACCTGCCTGTCTCAACACTCACAATAAACGGCATGCAATGCATGCAGAAGCGATGACGTGTACGTGCTATTTCTAAAATTGTTCTAAGAAAATTGGAACATAAACAGACAGGCGGCTGGTTAAACTTAATTAAAAGTAAAAGTAAGTTACTACATGTGTGGGAAGTAGCTGTATTGCAAGTAGCTTTGCATACTGGTTGGGTTTTGAGAGTCCCAAGTGATCGCTCGCATCGCAAGCTTACTTGTTCCCTTTGTTCAATTGTTCCTCTTTGAACTGAATAATGCAATTCACCTTTCTTCCTTGTGTTTACTTTTCGAAGGGAATTCATATTTTAAAAAAAGTTTTTAAAAAACTTTATTAGTACTAATAAATATTTTTTTGCCAAAAACTTTACAAGATTATTTATAAATAATTTCAATTAATTTGGTTTTGTATTACTATAATGATAAATTGCAAATATTGCAAACAAGTAATTCACTTTTCGCCCTTTAAATTTATTAGTATACTGTATTGGTACTAGTAAAGCTTTTTAAAAACTTTGCAAATATCAG